CCCAGTCATCAGCTTCATCACACCAGTCTGTCCTGGACATTGCAGATTCTGTACATGCTGTGGTTTTGTTGTCTTGTCTTGCTTTGATGTCATCCTCCAAGCACTGAGAGCGCAGGACAATCCAGCTAGGTATGTATACAGGCGACATGGTCAGATTGTCCGAAAATGAAACGTTTTAAGGAATAGTTATGGAAACAGAACACATTTGAAATGTAAATAATGCCTTAATCTAAAATGACAAGCTGTTACCTCTCTGATTTGCCACTGCACTGTGGATTGGTGCAGGCAAATACATTGATGGTTCTGTGGTAAGGAGACGCCGCAAGAGGGCAGTAGACCTGCACCGCGTGGGACAGGCCTCTCTGACACAGACTGCATATGGGACACTGGAGAGGGATTGTTGGAAGCAGGTCCTGTAATGATAAAAATATATCGAGGGGTGAGAACCAGAAAGGCGTAAGTGACATTTCACCAACTTTACAGGGGAGCCAAAACAAAAATGTTACCATAGTTTAATCTGACTTTATGTACTGATGTCAATTGCTTATAATAAAAATGTGTACACTCATGGATGACAGTACTTTTGCCAGTAGAAAGAGCTCATTAAGAGCTTTCATTTGATATATATATCTCCATTTCACCAAAAATGTCACTTACGCCCTTCTGGTTCTCACCCCTCGATATATGTATGTTAACCATAAAAATATATTATTTTTAATAATAATAACAATAAAAAAATTTGTAATGTGCCTTTCTCATACACAAGTGCTACAACATTTCACAATACAAAATAAAAATTAATACATAGTGTATAATAACAATAGACACACAATAACTTTACTAATTTTCATTTGATTCATAATTATTTGAGATATTATGCATACCTATTGGGATAATTGCAAATTCTGTAAAACTTTAATATACTTAGAAATACACATCTTGTTATATGTTCCAAATCTATATAAACAAAATTTAAATGATTGATATGCTTTTTTTGGCAAGGCATTATATTCACAAAATTAGAAAGCACAGGTTTCATTTTTTGCGATACTGACCTCAAAACATATATAGTTATAGATATGTCATAGATTATATTAATACTCGTTGAAACTATAAAACTTGTTTTTCTTATTTTTTTGTCAGTCAATATGCTTCTCTGAACATGTGGCAACTAAAACTCAAATCGATACTGGTCTGTATTCAATAGACAATCAGAAAGGATTTGTGTTTGATGTAAAAGATTTTAACAGTAATGTTAAATGGCATTTGATTCAGATAAATGAAATACATATATTGTTCGAACAACTTGCAAATATGATTCTATGTCATGTACTGTATAAATATTGAATATGAATGTTAATGTTGCTCAGTTTACCTTATAGAATATCATAGTTTATTCATAATTACTTATAATTCTGCACTACTTTTCACACATTTAAAATACATGATATCTGTAAATCAGATTTTGATTACCCATGTATTGTCCACAAAATGAAAACAGCACAAGATGCTTAGTATTTTGATATTATATATTATAATAATACTTTCTGAGAAATGCTTTAACTATAAAACGTGATTTTACGTTTTTTGAATTGTTAACCATTATTGACCATTTAATTGACACTTAGTTCATTTATAATTATATTATGTATTTGCTTCTTGTCCTCGTACAAAAAAAAGGAATAATTTGAATTGCGCGCCCATTTATTCAACTGAATATTAAAATGATTCAGACTAACTCGACATTCAAAAGAACCGAGCCAGCCAGGAGTCGAACCTGGAATCTTCTGATCCGTAGTCAGACGCGTTATCCATTGCGCCACTGGCCCCATAGAACATCAGACTAACATACGGGAACTCTGACTATAGCAACAATACACGATTAAAGTTACTTTATTACAACAGTGCAAAAGAATTCAAATATCCTCACTGTAAAACACATAATAAATAAAATAAAGTCGTTTGTCATGACAGAGATTACCGTAATCTTACATGTGCGTATGTTTAGCCCCCTAGTTAGCCAACTGGCTAGCGATAGCTTACTTTTAAACACTTTTATAAATCTCATTTTTTAGTCTTCACTTACGCAAGCACAGAAATCTGATTTAATTTCGCGTCAAAAATATTGTCTGTGTACATGGGGAATCAACTACAAGATAATAAAGTAGCTGTCAAGCAAAGACCTTAGCTAAACAGTTAGCATGACACAAACCCTGAAAAATGTACAAATTACGTTTCCTTTACCGGTCTATCTCCAATTTTGTTCGTGCAATAAGATTCAGACTAACTCGACATTCAAAAGAACCGAGCCAGCCAGGAGTCGAACCTGGAATCTTCTGATCCGTAGTCAGACGCGTTATCCATTGCGCCACTGGCCCCATAGAACATCAGACTAACATACGGGAACTCTGACTATAGCAACAATACACGATTAAAGTTACTTTATTACAACAGTGCAAAAGAATTCAAATATCCTCACTGTAAAACACATAATAAATAAAATAAAGTCGTTTGTCATGACAGAGATTACCGTAATCTTACATGTGCGTATGTTTAGCCCCCTAGTTAGCCAACTGGCTAGCGATAGCTTACTTTTAAACACTTTTATAAATCTCATTTTTTAGTCTTCACTTACGCAAGCACAGAAATCTGATTTAATTTCGCGTACGTGTCAAAAATATTGTCTGTGTACATGGGGAATCAACTACAACATAATAAAGTAGCTGTCAAGCAAAGACCTTAGCTAAACAGTTAGCATGACACAAACCCTGAAAAATGTACAAATTACGTTTCCTTTACCGGTCTATCTCCAATTTTGTTCGTGCAATAAGATGTGTTTTTCTTCTTGTCAATAACTCCATCACATATTCCTATGAGGACTGTCTCGTGTATTGATGTTGCCATGATTAATAAGCAGAAATCTTCAGTCCATGTGCTTCTCTGAACATATGGAGACCGAAGTTCACACTTGTTACTGAATCGTTTGGCTCTTAATCGTCTTAAAATGTGTTTTATCCAGTCGATACTGGTTCACAATTTATATTAATTCAGTAACGATATGTTAAATGTAAAATATTTCCGAAATTGTGCATATACTTATGTAAAATTGATTTAAATGATTGCAAACGACATTTGATTCTGGTAAATGAGCTTAATTAATACATTGTTTTACAACGTGTAAATATGAATGAATGTAATTTAAATGTTAAATAGAAATATTGGTTTTGTCAAACATAAATAAGTTAGTTATGCCCTCTTTTATAGGGCGCTGTGCATCGGGCCAGTGGCGCAATGGATAACGCGTCTGACTACGGATCAGAAGATTCTAGGTTCGACTCCTGGCTGGCTCGGTTCTTTTGAGCTTCAATTCGCGAGCCTACATTTTGCGGCCGCTGATAGACGCATGGATACTCACATAAATGGGCATGTTAATATTCACATTATTTCATGTAATATTAGACTTTTGAACTCATGTGAACTGATTTATTGTTTGAATGCGTTTCGCTTCGTTTAATCTTTAAAGAAAAAACTTAATTTTTTTTTGTGGTAGAGCATTGCGTTAGCAGCGCAAAGGTCGTGGGTTCAATTCCCAGGGAACACACATACTGATAAAAAATGTATAGCCTGAATCCACTGTAAGTCGCTTTGGATAAAAGCGTCTGCTAAATGCATACGTTTAATTTAAATTTAATTCAATTTAGATTTTGAGTGCGAGTCTACTGCCCTCTCGCGGCGTCTTCTTGCAATAGATTCAAATCAGAAAATTATAAAATACTTCATTTCGTTATAAAATCCTTTTAGCTTGCTCTACCTTTTACATTTGGTGTTGGTTTAAATCGTATTTGTTTATCCAAACGCTGTGACGTTTTTCATTGTGTTGCGGATAAACAAAACATTAGCGAAACGTATTTAAACAAAAAGGAATCATTCAGTCAAGATCTGACGATTGTTTTTATGACATCCTGCAGTGGAACATATTAACTTGAACTTTCGCATAAACTCTTTTGGTGTGTCCCGCATCCGTTCCCTAAAGTGTTTGTCGGAGTATCCTGTTTAACGTGACCCAAATGAACTCGCGAATCGAAGCTCAAAAGAACCGAGCCAGCCAGGAGTCGAACCTAGAATCTTCTGATCAGTAGTCAGAGGCGTTAGCCATTCGCGCACCAGTGGCCCGTAGGTTGTGGTTATTCTTTGTTATGACAGCCAATCACGTTCCCGGCTGCAACCATGAAACGTATATTATTGCCAATCAGCGCTCGTATCGCAACTACGATTCCGCCCAGTAACAACAAGTAATTGGCCAATCAGCGCTCGTATCGCAACTACGATTCCGCCCAGTAACAACAAGTAATTGGCCAATCAGCGCTCGTATCGCAACTACGATTCCGCCCAGTAACAACAAGTAATTGGCCAATCAGCGCTCGTATCGCAACCACGATTCCGCCCAGTAACAACAAGTAATTGGCCAATCAGCGCTCGTATCGCAACCACGATTCCGCCCAGTAACAACAAGTAATTGGCCAATCAGCGCTCGTATCGCAACCACGATTCCGCCCAGTAACAACAAGTAATTGGCCAATCAGCGCTCGTTCGGCATCCGTGATTCTTCATAGTAAAAACAAGTAGATCAATTGATCAATTAACGTCAAGAACCCCCGGAGACTTGCGGATTACGGCTGGAGAAGAAGATAACGGTCATCGATTAACTTCTGACCAACATTTGCAATGTACGTGAGTCTTTTATCAATAAAAAAGTAACACTTACAATACTGGTGCACAACTATGCATTAATTCATGCTTAACGAATGCACAGATAATCATAATAACTCATGAAGGACTAAACCATTTATTAATGATTACTACATCAGCAACTAATACACATTCTATATGATTCATAGATTAAGTAATAAATCAGTTGTTATCAGTTAAATGTACTATACCCAGACAGCACACATACGTTGGGCCGATGTCGACCCGACGTACAAAATTCCATCGGCACGATGTCGCTCAGGGATCGTTTGCTAATAGGGAAGATGTCGCCGCGACGTCGGCCTCTGATCGCAAATGCTCTCCGGCCGATGTTTGGACGATGCAGCTGTAAATACCGGCTGCTCTGCGTGGACGCGGTTCACCGGCGTTTTGCTCATCGTTACGGACCACCCGCGGCAGCAGCCGCTGGTTTATAATAAAACAATACACACCACTCTCAATAAAGGTTGCACATTTATTAAAATTTTCAATAAACATATTAAATATACAAAAAC